TGTATTATGTCGAGTCAAGTGTTCCAGAAACTGCTTTTGTCGCCGCAAACTATTGTCTTAGAGGACTTCACTTGGCTTGCAGGCTTCCAGTTTGAAACTCCTCCCTACCTGATCCTATCTGATAGACAGACAGACAGACAGACAAATAGATAGACAGTTGTGTTTGTCTTCAGTTTCAGGCGACCGAGTCGGGGGATCGGCCCGGTCCAGCCGTAGTGGACACCCCGTATAACCACGAGGCTAAGGACGCCATAGTTTAGACCAATCATCGCCTCACAACCATTTTGTCCAATAAGGGCCTCTTTGACAAAATAATTCTGAGGCGACGCAATAGGCGCCACAGCATGCTTTTTTAAAGTTTGGTCATTCTTTTTGGGCCAATATTGGTTTTATATTTTTTTTAAACCAACCAAATAACCAAACAAAACAACTTTTATCTTGAACACCTGCGACATATTAAGTGGCTGGTAAGAGTATAGTTAGAAAGCCTTAAAAGTCAAACAGGAAAAATAAACGTACAACGCACTTAAAGATACATGGTATAAAAAGTTGTTTCTTGTACACGGTTGTTATATATACGAATTAATGATGGAACTATCAATATTTTCCACACACACACACACACACACACACACACACACACACACATACACACACACACACACACACACACACACACACACACACACACACACACACAAAGATTCATTTCCTCATCCTTCCTATTATGACTTAAACAAAGCAAAGGCAGCCCGTTTTGACGGACACGAGAAAGAGTCAAGTGTTGTGAATGAACACAAGGGAGAGTTCTTCTTCAGCCATCACTGTTTATTGAAAGACGTCAGCTACATGTGTACGTACAAGTTCAATACATGTGTTATATAAACGTTTACTACATGTATACGTACAAGTTTAATACATGTGTTATATAAACGTTTACTACATGTATACGTACAAGTTTAATACATGTGCTATGTAAATGTTTACTACATGTATACATACAAGTTTAATACATGTGTTATGTGAACGTTTACTACATGTATTCCTACAAGTTTAATACATGTGTTATGTGAACGTTTACTACATGTATACATACAAGTTTAATACATGTGTTATGTGAACGTTTACTACATGTATACATACAAGTTTAATACATGTGTTATATAAACGTTTACTACATGTTTATTGTGTAACGTCGCAAATCGAATCACTGTAACTGTAGCAAAAGAGAGGAGAACTTCTTGGTAGTTTGAAACAGTCGAACATCTATCGCCCTTATCTCTCTTCCTTCTTTTTTGTGCATGTTACTCTCTTGTAACACATCTATTCTTCGGCACTTATATGACCTTTTTTGTAAAAACTAAACTCTTTCTCTCCTTATTTTCTTTTGTCTCATTCCATCTGTCCAATATTATGTATACTAAAAAGGAACAACAGTATAACCACCACCCCCCAAAAAAAAAAGAAAAAAGAAAAGAAAAAAGAAAAATATAAATTTAAAAAAAAATTAAATTAAAAACAAAACAAACCAAGACTGCAAAAATAACAGAAACAACAACATCGACTACAAGTATTATCTTTGTAAACAAAACACACAAAAAAGGTTGATGGCCTCCACATAATTATAACGCACCACATAACTTCTCAAAGTGCAGTACCCAGATAGTCTTCTTCTAGTTTGAGAAATCAGCTCGGCTGTTGTTTCCCATGGGCAGATCCAAACTCGTGTTTGCTGTGTTTTCTTTTTTTTTTTCTTTTTTTCACGAGTGTCACTATCAGTACCGTGGGCTGTTATAGTTGTAATGTTTCAACATGTTTGCGCCTCATAGGCCTAATTTCTTATCTTCAATTTATATACAAGATTGTTGGTTATTTTTCCAGATGGTTCACTCCTCTGCCTGATACCCTGTTAAAAAATATCTTGAAGAAAAATGCAGGAGGCAACGTTTTAATATTATTATAATTATAACTATTATAAGTGCAAGTTTCAGACTACATGTATTTTAAATAAGAGGGAACACATCTTGAATTTGAACACGAGGAATGAGAGGACAGAATATTTAAAATATAACTTTTGAGAACTATTAAAGGGGCCATTTTGTAGAGTGCTTGCTTTGATCATCTGAGTTATAGCTCATTAAGAGCTTATTTAATCCTTATAACATTTTGATACAGTATTGTTTGCTACATTGATACATTTGAGGCCAGATTTAATTTTTTTAAACGAAGAGACAGAATCTGCAATGTCGGCAAACATAACCAAATTGTTCCTTCAAGATAAAACATAAGGTTTGATTTTCTTGTCATGATCGGGCCCACTTTTTGAAAACAGCCAATCAGAAGGTTGTTCAACAAAGGTATTTCAACTCTGTGCTTTCTCCTTGTGGTCAGAGAGTAGCCTACGTGATCCACAGCCTAATTGGTAGTCTGTTATTGATTCTGACTTTTAATTTAGCAACATATTTTGTTTTTTAAATACAAAGAAAGTAAATTGAATTACTTAAAAACCCGACACAAACGTAATGGGCCTATTGCTGCACCAATGATTATAACTAATGAACTGGCAACAAGTTTCAAGCAATCAGAACGAAAAAAATGCCACAAAGAAGGCAACAATGGAATCTTGAACTTACCAATGACCTAAGAACTTACACAAAACAAAGATGACAACAAATATAATGTAAAGACAAGAATCTCTATTCCGAAATCAGTTATAACAACGGAACAAATTAAGAACAATGCAATAAATAGTACATGTAAAAGTTAACTTAAGCCCCCCCCCCCCCCTTTGGAAACTCATTTGCTCTTGTCGTATACACCCGAGGTCTCCATCCTTACGACATTCGTCAAAGAGTTCTAGATTCTAAACTTAGTTTAAGGATTCATAATCATCATCAATGCCTTTCACCCCTGGCAGGATATAGGCCACATACAAGCTCCTTCCATTTATCTCTGTACTGAGCCATCCTTCCAAGCTCGTTCCAAGTGAGCTTCATTTCTCTCATGTCCCTTTCCACGCATCTCCTCCATGTTTCCCGTGGCCTACCCCTGCCTTGTGTTCCTTGTGGGTTCCACTGCAGTGACTGTCTTGTGATGTTTCCGCTGGGCTTTCTTAAGGTGTGTCCCATCCATCGCCACTTTCTTAGTCTTATTTCTACTTCTATATCCTTTTGTCCTGTCCTTTCCCACAGCTCTTCATTTCTTATTCTATCCTGCCACTTAATTCTTAGAATACTCCTCATACATATGTTGATGAAAGTCTGGATTTTATTCAGTACTGTTTTCGTCGTCTTCCAAGTTTCGCAGCCGTAGAGGAGCACAGACTTGACGTTGGAGTTAAAGAGTCGAATCTTGGTGCGCAGTGAGATGTTGCTTGCTTTCCAGACTTTTGATAATTGCTTGAAGGCTGACCTTGCCTTGGCGGTTCTTGCTTTAACATCTGCCTCGGTTCCACCTTTACCATCGATGACACTTCCAAGGTAGGTAAAGGAGTCCACTTCTTCCAGGGGAGTGTCTTCCACTGTCACAGCAGGGCTTGAAACTTTTCCTAGCTTCACTACTTTCGACTTGCCTGGATGTATACTTCGGCCAACACTCCTTGATAGGCTGTTGAGTTCCTTGGTCTTTTCTTGCATCTGAGCATGTGTGTGAGAGAGCAGGGCAAGGTCAAGTTTAAGGATTGAGGGCATTTTAATTATTTATTTATTTATTTATTGGGGGGGGGGGGGGGTTTC